AGTCAATTGACGCTGTTTCACTGTTTGTTCATTTCCATAAAAAAAACTAACAAGCTGGGAAATAGCTTTTTTAAACCAGGTTATTGACCGCGGGCTTAATAATACGGCTGGAAATTGCGGGGCCATAATGAAAAGATACGTGGAGAGGTCAAATATTTCTACAATAAAATCTAAGTTCCTAAGTCCTTCTAACTTCAAAAAGAGAAAAAAAGTCCTGGCTTGATTTTCGTAAGCGCAATTCGAAACATTTAGGAAGTCTGTGAATTCGTTGTTTGTGATGAAAAGTGTGTGCATCTAAAATATCACAATAAATGCGAAATTATGTGAAGCGATCTTTAGAAGAAAAACAAAGAAATGGGGAAACGGATCGCTAAAGTGAAATGAACTTCGTTATCCATCGATTTCATCGCCCTCGAAGTTACTTAATAAGCCACACTTCATTTCATATCAACTAGTCAATTCCAACTTCCACAGCTAACAAGATTTTTTTTTGGCGGATTCAAGAGGGTATTTTCGAATTTTACAAACAAGTAAAGAGTTGCATCTATGGAATTTCGAAAGCTTTTTTCTGAATCCAATGAAGAAGAAAGCAAAGGTTGAAATAAAATGAAGCAGAAATTTCGGCGAAAGTTCTAGACAGTTTGCAACTGCATAAGTCTTCCTGTAAATGCTTTCATGAATTAGTACAGAAAGTTTTTCCGGAATGCTAATTCATCCCTCCCAACAAAAACAAAGTATGAAATCTGAAAGAGTACTCTTTTCAGGCAAAAATCTGTTGCTGTTCATTAATTTTTAAAATAATTTCAGAAAGAAATCAATTATGAGGAAATGGGAAAACGTTTTTGCTGATGGCACCAATTCTAAGATTTTTCCAGAACTCAGCCTTAGAAATAAAGCATGAATTCTAGTTCTTGCATAGCTGGTTTAATTGAGTTGCTGTATGTTTCGCTCGCAAGCCACTTTCTGAATCCAGACAATCATTGCATTCAGAAATGGAAAATGTCTACAAAATGGATGGAAAACTCGCTTTGAATGTTTTTTTGTCGGAGTAAGCGAAGCAATATACATCGTTTTATTTCTAACTATTACCTAACACATTTTATAACTTCATCCTATTTCATTAGATTGAAAGCATTCTTCACCATAACCAAAAAAGGTTCATTTCGTACATCGTTTATCCCATATTCCATTGCTGTAATCATCATCTTAATATCATCGTCTTTAAATGTTTTATATGTTTTTTTTATGTAACCACTGGGAAACTAATTAGGATGAACGAAATATCTCCCAATAGCTGATGAAATTTTAAAAGTGAGATGCAATCCTTTTGCAAATTCCATAATGGATGTCAGCACCAAGGAATTAAATGGAATTTCTGGTGTGTTTGAAGTGTGGTAGTATTTTCGCAACTATTTAAAAACATGCACCACAAAATGATAAAAGATTTTTCAAATCTATTACGAATTTCAATACCATATCCCTTACCTTCTGAATGCTGGATTTTGAATGAATTACGCGGTTCCAGTTTGGCCATCGTTGCTTCGCTTTCAAACTCCAAAAAATCCGGCTTGCAGTGACCATTTACCCAAATCTTATCTCGGTTACAATCGATGTTTTCAGTCAGATCTAAAACTAATTTCACAATTTGTACAAATTGATTTAGCATTTTGCATGAAACTTGTTCATTAGTTGATTTGAAGTAAACTAAAGACTTCAACGATTTTCATATAAATTTGAAATTTCAGTCTTCGTAACATTTCGAAGCCTCAATTATGAAATAAGATGCACTCCAAAAGCAATAGTATTGTAATAACATATTTGGCGAAATGATGGAAAATGTATTAAAAGCACTGAACATGACTTACCCATTGATTATTCGAGAAAAAAAAAATGACTTGAATTGAAAAGTGATATAAAAAAAACGTGAAACTCACCCATCACAACGAATGCTGCAGCAACGGCCACAGCACCACCGGGACCTCCATCCTCCTTCTTTTCCATTCCCTCATCCTCCTTCTTTGGCATTTCATCCGCCTTCTTTTCCATTCCCTCATCCTCCTTCTTTGGCATTTCATCCGCCTTCTTTTCCATTCCCTCATCCTCCTTCTTTGGCATTTCATCCGCCTTCTTTTCCATTCCCTC